AACTATAAATATTTTACTATATTATATTATTCCTCCTAAAGAAAATTTTCTTCCTATATATATCCTCTTCTTTTATTCTATAATAATAACTATTTCCCTTTTAAGATATTATATATTCCTATCTCTAATCCTTTAATAATATCCTCCTATTAAAATTAACTAACTTATTATAAAATATCTATAGTCCTATTTTTAATTAAGATTATTTCTTAGCTTTACCTTATTAAGAATAACTTACCTATTACCTATAACTCTAAAATCAAGTAGCTTATAAGCTTTAAAGTAAAGCCCTATTTTTACTATATTATTAATTACTATTAATTCCCCTAGAGCCTTTATTTCCTTATAGATACTAGTTAAATCTACTTACTTTACTTTACTAATAAGAAAGTATATTATAAGGTTTAAATCTCTATTTTTTTACTAACTAAGCTATACTAACCCTCTATTTCTTAGATTTCTAAAAAGCTCCTTAAAGCTTATTAGTAAATTTTAATATTTTAATTAAATATTATAGCTTAATAGGCTACTAGAAATTATTATAAGCTTAAAGTAAAGGTACTTACTAATTAAAACCTTTTAAAGTAAATCTATTCCTTCTTATAAAATTTTATAAATAATATTATTTAAACTATATTTTTAAAAAAACCTAATTAATAAATAAGTATATTTTTTACTACCTAATTATAGCTTTATTTTAATATTATTACTACTATATAAAATCTAATATATATCTTACTCCTTTTTACTTTTTCCCTTTACTTTTATTCTTTAATCTAACTTTACTTTACTTCTTAAATTTAAAATAATAATCCCTATAAAATCTAGTATTATCTTACTATCTTTAAATATATTAATTTTAAAAAAGTTTATTATAAAACCTCTAAAAAAATTTAGAAAACTATTACTTTTATTAATATTAATACTTATCCCCTTAATATTTATAACCTCCTTAACTTTCTCTAAGTCCCTATTTTATATATTTAAAACTTTATTACTTTTACTAATTA